CTCCTCTACACCCCCTTTCCTCTCTCACCTTTAATTTTAGATAAGAACATATTTTTCAAAGGAAACGAAATGAAGGGCAGAAAATATGTAAAAAATTTACGAAAAGGAAATTGAAAAAATTTCCAATATTTAGAAGTAATCTTTTGTTATTTTGTTATCTTATAGTATAATTATTTAAAGCAAATGAGGAGAAGAGTCGGAGATGTTATTAGTTGGTCGAACTTATCTATAATAAAGAAGGCCCCCAAGGCAACCCATTCTTCAGAATGATATTTTGAATCTTTCTTAGACAAACTAAGTTTCGCCATTTTTTACTGTTTACTATTAACCCAGGGACAATATGAATTTTTTATAAATTACCAACACACAACAAAATTTGCCCATAAGACTTACAAAAAAACAATATGAAATGTTTTTTTTTATAAAAAATGGGTCAGCGCAAGCACTTTACAAAATCAACAATCACTAAGGGAGGCCGATTTTTTAATTTTTTCTAAGCATGTGGATATGGGTGTCTAAAGTTAGCCTATAACCACTGAATAGTGCCCATTTGCTGGTTTTTTTGCTTTTTATTTAAAGAAATTTTTAAGACTCATGCTGAAAGGATCCGAACATTTTTAAAAGTGCAAAATTGTCCGCCCCTTACAAAACGGAGTTTCCCACAAAGAATGAGAGTTTAATGACAAGATTGAACTCTTTACATTTGAAAGCAATATTTTAAAAGACAATTTAATGATTTTGTAAAAAAAAATAAAAAGATGTAAAGATGCAAGGAACCTTGAATGTGAAGATGAAAGGAACCTTGAATGTAAAGATGAAAGGAACCTTGAATGTAAAGATGAAAGGAACCGGGTCCATTTTAAACTGACATTACCCTTTAGTTTTACCACTCTCCACTAAACCACGCTATTTCGTCGGTAAAAAGTACTGTCAACCACAGCAGTATACACCAAAAGCTTAGTCGAACTCTCTTTATGTGGACCTAAACATTTGTATTTTAAAACGTAAAGTTTCTAGCTTTAGTTTGAATAGAGAAATTGGCAAAATTTCGATAGATCTTTTGTGCACACAAAGCATGTGCAATTTGATTGCTGTGGTTCAAAGTCTACTAAATGATAACATAAATATGACAAATTAAAAATGTAGATTCTATTTTACAAAAGGATGTCACTTGTGAGATTCCTACCAAAATAAACTCTATCTATCTATATCTTCAACAATGGTTATTCTTAATGAATATATATATAATACAGGTCCAAAAAACCCTAATTCTATAATCCTTTATTCTCCTTGTTTAACATACAGAATCTATATATATATTATTACATATACATACTTTTTGGTCTGTTGGTTTGGGTGTTTGTTTATATGCAATAAACGTCAAAACGGCTAAACCGATCAGGCCCAAATTTTGTGTGGGAACTTACTTAACCCAGGGAAGGTGTAAGATGGTCAGAATTATAAAAATGCATTAAAAATTTTAGATTTTTTCTATCGACGAAAAAAATCCATAAATCCGGGAAATTTTTGTTGTTGTTGCATTTCCTAAATGTGGTCTGCACTTTTGTGCTTTCAAGGTTACCGAAGAATTAAGGAATGTTGAAAAGAATTGAGTCTTTGCCACGAACTCCTGTTTTCTAATTTCGATATCTTTGCAACACAATGTTATAGAACTTTGATATTTCAAACAAAGAATGCTGTTAGATCAATAAATTCTAAGTTTGAAATATCAAAGGTTCACATTAGCAGGTTACAAAGATTTATGGATATAAACAATTAAATTTGTGGCTAAGACTCAATTCCTTTAATTTATCAAATAAACCCAAAATTTTTATTTGTATCATTTCTCTAATAAGAAACCTTAAAAAAAACTTTTGGATATTCTCTTTTTGTTTGTTTATTTAATGAAAGTAGAAGAAGAAAATAATTTAAGAAACGATATCAGAAGTAATTATTTTACCAGAAAAGGTTTAATTATTTTCTAATCTTTAATGAAAGAAATATCTTTTCACAGAGTTCTGGGAAAAGTTTGTTATGCCTTTTCACAATTTCCTAAAAAGAGGTTTAATGGCTATTGATAAAAGACAGTTCCTCGAAATATTCTGGATCAGCAAACTGGTTCTGTTTACAGAAACTGATAAAAATACAGTTGATAAATATATCTTTTTATTTGCTATGTCTGTTTGATAAAATGTTGACAAAAGCTAAATTCGCTGAGCAACCCCTATTTTAGGAAGGGGTGGGGGGGGGGGAGAAGGGAGAGGATAAAAAAGTCCAGTATAGAGCCTAATATCATATAATTTTTTTTGCTGTTTTTCTCGAAATTATCTCAATCTGAAATCGAACCTCAGTATTTGGAAAATAGAAAAACGGAAATAAATATTTTAATATTCAAAATTTTCTAAAACTAGTCCCCTTGGTCAAGTTCTTACGGTGATTCAGACGACTGAGTTAAATTGTCAGTATAACCATTCACTCTCGAGTCTCGAATGCCCATTTTCAGTAGGAGAAAGAAATATCCGTTTATTCACTTTGAACTCTCTCTCTACGATATGTTTAAGAACCATGAATAATGGAAANAGGATAAAGAGTATTTGAATGATAGAAAAAAACATGTTTATGTCCAATCCTATATTTTCGAAGGTCATAAATATGATCATATTTTGAGAACTAGCTTTAAACAGTTGATGTTATTCTCAGTAAACGAAAATATCAAAAACATCTCTAAATTTAAGTTTTTATAAAAAAAAATCTTCAAACTTGAAGATAAACTTAAAAAATACATAAATAAAAAAATTCATTTGTTTATTAATGTGTATTTAATTTGGCTAGCTGCAGAAAACATCCAAAAAATTCATTTATTTTTATTTTCAAAATTAGCCATAGTGTGATTGAAGGATGGACAAGGAATGGAAGATCAAGAAGAAAGGATTAAAAACAAGAAATATAGAAGTCTCAAAATGTTTCCATCTGATATCATATTAAAATTTAAAAATATTGTAAAATTTAATTAAAATAAATTATTAAAGTTAAAAATTAATGTGTATATTTTCAAATATTTCTCTACAAAATCTTCCCTTTTGTGATTGCTTATCACTTTTCCTACTTAATCGAGAAAAAAAAATTATTTGTTTCTTAAGTGTTATTTTTTTATGTAT